CGGGTGTCTGGTTTCACTGATGAATCTGTTGCTTTGTCCCGCCCCCCCCCCCCCCCCCCCCCCCCCCCCCCCCCCCAGCGCTTTGCTGTCAGCCCTGCCAGGTCCTTTTTTTCTTGGCGTGCGGCTTCCGCGGCCAAAATTGCACTGGCAGGAGAGCTGGCAGGCAGCCAGCTGGGGGGGTGCTATCCGGCACGTGGCTGTTCCCACCCCCCTGCATGTTTCTGCCACCAGTTTGGACCAGGTCCAGGATGTGCCTTGTGGCTAGATATACACGGGACCCGCACTTATTACAGAGCAGCCCCCCAGTCTCCACCTCGCCCCATTGGCCGTTCACGCCCGTGGGCGTTTGCTGAAGCAGCTCGGGAATCTACAGCATTTCACTCCCAGCTTCAGCGGTCCTGACCTTCCCCATGTTCTCAGCCTTCTTCCCTTTAGCCGCTTTTTCCGTTAGCGGCCGAGGCCCCCAGTAAATGCTCCATTGAATCCGCTTCTTGGGTGGGCTAATTTGCAAGCTGGTAGCATGTGAAGTTTTATTTTCTTTAAAAATAAGGACAGGTTTGTTCTGCGAAGGGGAGGACAAGCGGGCCGCGGCCTCCGTAGTGGGGGAACCACCGCATGTGGGCTTTCCTAGCCACTGGGTATCTCTCGTGGTGTAACGGTGAGAAGATACTCTGGCGTGCCACTGTGGCGCGGTCGTGGTGTCATGCAGCGGAAACCGCAGCCGCTTTTACGGCACGACAGGAGCCCCGCCTGGGGGCAGGGAGGGTGGGTCATCGTGGAATGACTGTCTGTCAGCCATCTTGGCTCCTGTCCTTTTATCTCTCATCAGCTCTTCAGTATTCAATGTCCCCTCTCACCGTTTCAGGTTGCGCTGATGGGGGATGGGGGGGGGGGGGGGGGGTGCTGTTTTGATGGTATTGTCTCTGTGAGGTACTGGGGGGGGGGTGACAGATGCTCCAGTGGGGTTGGGGGTGGATTTCACAGTTTATACATATGTTTGCGATTTCGCGATTTATCCACGTAAAAATGAATCATCCTCTGCCAACGGAGAAGCCTCAGGTGGTGTTTCAGCCTTTTGCATTTTTTTTTTAATTCTCATTTTTCATTTGAGTGACATTTCAAAATGGACAATTTCGGTAATTACAGCAAAAAAAAGAGGCATTCAAGAGGCACCTTAAGGGCAGACGATGGTGCCACAGTTGTACGACGGAGTTGGAGGGAAAGGCGGGGGGGGGGGCAGTTTTTGTCAGTGATGTATGCCTTGTGACCTTGCCCCAGCCCTAAACAGCAGAGTAAATAATTGTCAGACAAGAGGACAGACAAAGGGGGCTGGTGGAACGATAGAGGGGAGGGTGGGCTTGTTGCTTTCCTGACGGGGCCTGCGAGGTCCTCTCCGCTCTGGCCTGAAGAACGAGGGCTGCCTGACCTCCTAATCCCTCGATCCCACCCCAGGGCCTGTGGGATGGTTTCCAAGCCCCCCTCCCATTCACACAGTCAATTCTGCCCCCTCTGCAGCCTGCAGCATGTTAATCCCATCATGATTAATGGGTTTTTAATCACGCAGGGTGGACAGTGGCCTGTGTGTGTGTGTGTGTGTGTGTGTGTGTGTGTGTGTGTG